GTATGGTTTTTAACGGACAACTTATTTTTATTAAAATAGCTTAACGTGAGCACAAAATTCGACAATTACGCCATTTGAGTCAACATAGTCGAGTGTTTTCGAAAATAACAGTATTGCAAAGGAACTTGTTTCGAACTATACAGATAATTAACTAAGTAAAAATAGTAAAAACGCAGAGGCTTGGTATAGTGATTGACTGAGGCCGTGGATATCACTGCTGCCGAGCTTGAGACACGAGGACTAGATCTCAATTGTATAGCGACTATTGTACTCTTAACGTATTAGAAGAAACACGCGGAATATACTACCTAACTTATCGGGAGCAGAAAATTTGTTAACCCCTGTAAGATTCCATATGTACCTACATATGTATGTATCTAAAAGCCGATTGTACGTACATACATATGTTCCTTAGGGACCCCGAACCGGCCGGAGCGGATAATCTTGTGAAGTTTGGTGGAGATCGAATCAAAGTAAAATAAAAGATCGACTAGCACGGCGGGCCGTGTTTGACTAGTACCTATGTAAATTAAATTTAATATTCTATCTGTGTAAAATTAGTTCCTTTTTTCTCCTACCTAATCGTTAGCAGCCTAAAGGGCTATTCCAACGACCAGCCTCAGCCTGAAAGAACTTGCTAACACTAGCCCTAGCAATAGCAGTGCTTCGCTGAATCTACCGCCGAATCGGAATTGCGACCTACTGAGAATTACCGGCGAGAAACTCAATGGACTGTATCTATGGGCTAGGTTGTACGTTGAACTCTTCCACAAGTTCAACAAGAACGATGACATATCCTTGGAGAGCTCAAAAGCACCGAGACTGGGTCGGGAGGATCCGATAAGTTCTTACGAGGAAGGCGGCTTTGGGTCGCCCCGTCGTCTGGGTCGGTTATGTAATTAAAGCAGCCACTATAAGAGGGTTGTCGTGACGAGTCGCTTTGCCGAAGATCATGGTACAATTCCAAGTGAAGATTTCTATGATTGTACCATCAACATATGATTGGTGGCATAAGTTCTTTTTTGCGTATTCGTTTGAACGAGCTCACGGCCCATTTGGGAGTGAAATAGATACCGAACCTCATAGACATCAACTTCAATGCCGCCACCTACTGAGACTTGATGTCATGGTCTAAATTGTATAGTGATTACGTACGTGGAAATTACGCAAATTACAATAATTGCGGGGTTGATTTTTATATCAAGATGTCATCATCTTGGAAGTCATTCGTGAATATATATCATATAAATATAAATTCTATTATATATATATTTATATATTCATTACCTATACTGATAGCCTTGAGAGGCTATTTCAGCTTCGCCCTAACATGTAGGTGAGCTCACGGGGCGCAAACCGGAGTGTTGCTAACATTGGCCCTAACAAGAGCAGTGCTTCGCAGGATCTACCACCTGATCGGAAACGCGACCCACTGAGATGATCCGGCGAGAAACTCAGTGGGTTGTGGCTATGGGTGAAATCGCTGGTCGAGCGACGGGTTCGACGAGGACGGTGACCGGTGCTTGTGGTACCTAAAAGCACCGTTAATAGATCGGGAGCATCCATAATGATACAAAAGATTGGCACCTGCTTCTAGTTTTTGAACATAAGCAATCGCATCACTCGGTACGAGTACTCCGGCGTCTTATCATTTAAGCTACGACTAGCAGTTTGGGGAAATGTTTTTTTCCCAAACAGTGTTTAAAGTTTTTGGTGGAGTTGAAATCGGATGACGTCTCATTTCTAATCGGGAGTTCTTTAAAACAATTAAATTTCTCATTTTTGAAGTATGTTTTTATTAATCGGCTGTGTCTATGTTTCGCTGTTTTATGAGACAGAAAGGGATATTACTCAACTAAATCAGCTTGCAGCGTTTCGCCCAAAATTTACTTGATGGACTGAATCCCGAGCTTACAGAAAGAACGGATTTTTTGAAGTAAAAAAGTTTTGAAATTAGTTTGATCTAAATTATCTAAAAAAAAACTACCTTCAATTTGTGTACAAAATAGAATGTATATTTATTTGTTGTTATTGATGATGATTACAAAATTACAATATTCATTCATTAATTTGTCAATTTAGAATGCAGTCAGCTTAAGAGATTCTTATATAATAAAATTTATTGCATTACAAATATTAATAAGTTTTTTTTATTGCTTAGATGTGTGGACGAGCCCACAGCCCACCTGGTGTTAAGAGGTTATTGGAGCCCATAGACATCTACGACGTAAATGCGCCACCCACCTTGAGATATAAGTTCTAAGGTCTCAAGTATAGTAAGTATAGTTAGTTTCTTGAATACGATCAGGCGTGATTGTCGTGAGCGATTTAGTGGTGGAAAGTACTCTAGACCACCTTCAACTGTTTACACAACTGTATTACTGGTGGTAGGACCTCTTGGGAGTCCGCACGGGTAGGTAACACCACCCTGCCTATTTCTGCCGTGAAGCAGTAATGCGTTTCGGTTTGAAGGGTGGGGCAGCCGTTGTAACTATACTGAGACCTTCGAACTGATATCTCAAGGTGGGTGACGCATTTACGTTGTAGATGTCTATGGGCTCCAGTAACCACTTAACACCAGGTGGGCTGTGAGCTCGTCCACCCATCTAAGCAATAAAAAAAAACAAATCAAAATAAAAATAAAAGTCGGGAGCATTCAACATAGGCTAGGACTTCACGCCTGGCCAGACTCGTGATACACAGCACAGCGAGGCTCGACCACGTGTTCTGGAATACCCTACTTGACTCCGCACATAAGACCGCCATTCGGATCGTCGATAACCATTGTATTCCGTATACTAAGTTCTATATCGACGCTTGAAAGGCAAACGTGACTAAGCGACAATAACTGCTTTGTACATAAATGATAGGCAATAACCATATTCGAGGCGCAAAAAATATATATTTCTAGGTCTATTAAAATTATTTCAATCCTACAGCTAGATTCGTTAAAATAGATTTTTTTTCAGGTATTCCAACTTTAAATTAGTCTACTGTAAAGTTCACGCATTGTCGCTTAGTCACGTTTGCCTTTCAAGCGTCGATATATATATATATAGAATGTTAACACTCGAAGTATTTAGCTGCCATTGCGGTTTTATCCATGAAAGATGGAAGAAATTACAATCACGTGCGCCCTAGATTACCTTTCACAACAATATTAATATACTGATTTAATTATGATGATTATTATGTTATGAATAATGGAGGGTAGAGGTAAGGAGAACCATCTTAAATGAGGGGACAAATTGAAAAAAATATAGTTGTGAGTAGAAAATTACAACTCAAAAATTCTTCAACATAGTGTAAGCAAAGCAAGTGGTGTGACATGAAGGTGGCAGTTGTAAAAAGGAGTAGTGTGCAGAGTTGAAGAAATTAATACCAGTTTTGGCACTATCTATCACTAAATTACACCACTTGCTATGGTGCCAATACCTTTGACTGTTTTTCGGCAGACACTTTTTCATAGACAAAGAGTGTGCTCTTTATCTCTACTTTCCATATTATTTATGTAATTATATATTATATCGCCTTTTCGCATTAAAAATGTACAATTTCCAAAAATATGCGATATTGAGTTAATATTCGTACGTATTTTTCTAATAAATACTGTCAAAAGAGCGTAGTTTAGTTTTGAGTTTTTTTTTTAGTTTACCTATGTTTTGACTACTATTAACAAAATTAATACATAATTTTATGTTACTTTAAGACAGATAATGTAACTGGTGTAAAATAGTTGCAAATATAATTAATATGAAAAATATTACATGTTAAACCTTTAAAACACTCTCCTGTAAAATTAGTAAGTTTTGAGATTATACAGTTTTAATGCGAGAAGACGACATGTGTGACGCGTAATAATCACTCACAACTTTATTCACACGCTCTTATTCGAAAAAAATATCCTTTCACAAAAGACCCTAACATATGCTTAATTACAATTGATAAGGTGTTTCTCAATTCATTTTATCTTATACTATACTGGACGGACTTGGTTACTATTTAGAACCTACATTTTTTGTGCTTAAAAAAATCTATGTTTTTTACATAGCTAAAAAACGGTTATCGTACAAGAAAGTACTGACAATATCCCTTACAATACAAATAGTATAATTATAATTAAACTCAACATACAAGGCATAAGAGCTGTTGTCATAATGGTAACTATCTCAATTTAAATGAAAAAAAATATCTAATTTGAACATAAACAAATTTTCTTTTAGCCACATTGGATTTTGTAATCTGTAATCTAAGTAATGATTTCACTTCAGATCACACAGCTTCGTCGACCTCAAGCATTAGCTAATTTCTAATTATTGAATATTACTGTGCAAAAGATAATGAGTATTTTAATCTCCAATATTTTTTTTAGTTATTTGTGATTCTCTTATACCCTGTAATACAATTTCATATTTTAAAGAGTTTTATTATTATATATGCCACAAAAATAAAGAAGTAATTATGTCTTATAATGGACGTATAAAATGTTGATAGAACTGGTATAATTAAAACTAACATACTTATCATAATAAGTTAGACAATAGTCTCTTTGTGAATCACTTATATGATTCATAGTACACTAGAGAAATTATGTAAGACACTTTGTTAGGCAATATGTTACATAATTAAATCTTAAAAATGCAAAATATATCATGTGATAATAATATATCATAATAATAGGTATTTAAAAACAAATAGATTCAAGTAAATTTAAAATAAAGGAGGTTCTTTTTTAAAAAATATAGGCTTTAACTAAGTTATCTATAAAAAATGCTTAACTTGTATAACTGAGCAAGTTAAAAATATTAGTTCCTCAATTATTGAGTCTATTTATGTAATTTTATACTAAATAATAGCTCCACAGATTTAATTGAGAAACCTTGAAATTTATGGAATTTTATACCATATTTGTATTTGTTTTGTTAATAATTTATCTACAAATGTTCATGTTGTTGTTATAAATTTTCGGAATTTAGTTACAACAATAAGAGTATGACACGATATAAGTATGCCTTTTTTTACATGATATTATATAGAGCTGGGATTCTATATTACTAATAAAACAGTACTGTTAAAATCTCTAACGCAAAATCTACCATAATACATACCGCCTCCTTTAATTTAAACCTAAATAAATAAAAAATCTAGACCTTATACAAGCCAAACAATATGCTCAATGAGCCCATGAATAATGCAATTGAGAGAGATACACTCGTAGAACCATTGCATTCATCTGAGGTACAGTAACATTCTTCCCAGTACACACCGTTGTCATAGACACCCCAGTTACAGACACCGGTCACTCCAGTCTCAGCTACAGATGCGCATCGTCTTATAACTTGACGCCATCTGCCATCCCCTGAAAGCATTATTTATTTTATTAATCTTAATAAACATTCACTTATAATATAAAAATGAAAATACCAAATGATCAACATTTCTCTTTGGTTTATTTTTTTTGGCTTCAAATGTTGGCAAATGCTATAGTAGTGGTCACGATTGCTTACTGACATCGTTAATTTTATTAAGCTTCGGTGAAAGAATGACATGCATGTGATTGCACTTATGAAACACTTTATTAAGAGTTAGATATAAATGCATGATTTCAAGACATAAAATATAGAAAATAATATACTGACAATGATTTTAATGGATTCTTTGAAAAATAAATTATATTTTTATAACAAACCAGATACAATTTATACAATTAGGTAGTTACAATTTATTTGATTTACTTGTTTGAGCAGACAGGGCCTGTTTTGTGAAAATATTAATTTAGTATTAATTTGAAAGGATATAGCATGTACTTACAAATGAACCCTTTGGGTCCTTGTTGAGTTAACTTCATACAAAATGCTCCTGGCATGTGAGATTCATCGCTACCACAGTCTACAGCTATGTGACTTTCTCTATCGAATTTCCTGTATGCTCCGCATGTATCTTCCCCTTTGTGATCTTGAGAAGACGCGCATTGGTAGCATTTTATCGAAACAACTAAAATTAATGTAACAATCTTTAGAAATGTACATACTGATGTATATATTTATTCGTTTAAATACCAGATTTCATTTACGATCTTACCTGTTTGAAAGGTACATAAAAGGGAAACAAACATTAGTTTTACATACATTGTGACGGTTTGTAATTTTTCTTAAAAGATATGAACCCAACTTGGAATTAAATGGTGTGACATACAATTAATGTTTCAACGTTCAGAATACACAGTAATATTAGTTATTTAGTTATCTGTATACAGTAAGTAGGTACACACAACTACACACCCATCCGCCGTTTCTTTTTCAAACAAGCAAACAAACACCCATTCAATTGATAGAAAAGTAGTAGTAGTAGGGTTTTTCTCGAAGAGAAAGGCAATGAAAGTTAGCCATACAGCCAATTCTTAAGTTTTATATTTTAATATATAATTTTACATTTTAAGGCAAAAAAGCCAATTCTTTAATATTCTTCATTTGTCTGTTTCAAATCCGTGATAGAAAAGTAATTTATTTTATGTAATTATTTTTTATTTCATTTTAAGTCCTGGTATAAGGAACTTTGAGCACTTACATTTTTTGTAAGACTGTGGTCGAGCGAGAATGAGTGCAACACCTAGAACTACTTACGGATTTGCCTGATTTAATCACAGTGCTGTTGGATGCTATTACTTCTAACACTAGCAGCGACCAACGTATATTTAGGCCATGGCAGCAGCTTGCTCAGTTTTTCACTAGACCTCGTTGTCCTTAAGTCAAAAAAGAGGTAATTTCATATCACCTTACTTTATTTCATTATTTCAAAAAAATCTGTCCCCCATCCGTTCCTTTTTGCTTTTCGTAGGTATATGATTTCGTCGATTTTGTACGTGATTTCGATTCCTATATAACTTCCTATTTTCAATATGAGCCAGCTCCAGCTATGAGCGGACCCTAGGTTCCCTATAGCCTATTGATTCGTTGTCCCACACATAGTTCTAGTTATGTTTCTAATTCTTTTGTTGTGCAGTCTGTTCTGCTATGGAATGCACTCAATTACACTCCCTCTCGATATTAAGACCATTACTGACTGCTGCGTGTTCAAGTTCAGGGAATGCTATTGGAGAAGTTAACCGTATCGTCATGAATTGAAATTTTTGTTAATATATTCCTTATATTTGCATGCATACATGTATACATATATATACATAACCTATATATGATTTATGACCTAAATTTGAAAAGTGGTTATAATAAGTTATACAAGTGACATAAATGGTATTTTAAATATTGAAACATCAGAAGAAGAAACATTAGAAACATTGAAACTTATGAAACATCAGAAGAAGAAACATTAGAAACATTGAAACTTATGAAACATAAGAACTGGATGATATTCCGCCCCCATAAAAAGACGGTACGCGACCGTGCCGCCTTTATACTAGGACGTCTCTACCCGATGATTTGCAGGCGAAGTAAAATGTCCCTTAGAAATAAGGTGACACTGTACAAAACTTGCATACGCCCCGTCATGACCTATGCAAGTGTAGTGTTCGCTCACGCGGCCCGTACTCACCTAAAATCATTTCAAGTTATTCAATCCCATTTTTGCAGGATAGCCGTCGGAGCCCCGTGGTTCGTCAGGAAAGTCGACCTCCATGACGACCTGGACTTAGAGTCCATCAGTAAGTATATGCAGTCGGCGTCGATGCGCCACTTCGATAAAGCGGCACGACACGAGAACCCTCTCATCGTGGCCGCCGGTAACTACATTCCCGATCCTGCGGAAAGAATGGAAAGCAGTCGACGTCGCCCCAAACACGTCATATCGGATCCTCCCGATCCACTAACGGTGCTTTTAGGTACCTCAAGCACCGGTCACCGTTCTCGTCAAACCCGTGTCGCTTGCGACGAAGTGTTCGACGAGTAAATTAACCCTCAGACACAGCCCACTGAGTTTGTCGCCGGATCTTCTCAGTGGGTCGCGTTTCCGATCCGGTGGTAGATTCTGCGAAGCACGGCTCTTACTAGGGTTCGTGTTAGCAACGTCGTCAGGTTTGAGCCCCGCGAGCTCACCTACTAATTAAGGTTACGCTGAAATAGCCTCTCAAGGCTATTAGGTAGGGAAAAAATGAAAATATATATATATATATATATATTATATTTGTTTATGTTTAATGCACCTACCATCATTTACTCTGCACTACTTTTGGTTCACTGGTAGAGAATACGTTAGGCATTAAGTCTGCCAATGTAAATAGTTTCCGAAGTGTAATATATAAATTTCGATCTGTTAGATTAGAATCTCTGGAGTTTATTACTGGGATTCTGCCAAATAGGTTATAGAACTAAATAAATTTACACCATTTTATTAAGAGGTAATTTCATTTAATTCTATCCAATGCTTACTTAATGCATCTCCCCTAATTTTAATGCATTATCAAAGTCTTTCGGTACATTTTACTTCCCGTATGTACAGCAGTTGTTGTTTAGTTTTGGTAATGTATGGACTAAAATACCTTTGCCTGTTATGGGATGATTGAACAAAAAAAACTCTCTCGATGAATTTCAAACATAATTTTACGGAACTAATCATCATCAAATATTTTTGTAAATTGTTTACGACATTTTCAACCCAATTATATCATGGAAATTAACAAACTTAGTAATTTTGTTGGTTTTTTTATTATTTTTAGCTTAATGCCTCTCGGTAAGATTACTATTTCATTCACAAAACTTGGTCACGCCCTTATCGGCATAGGTACTTTAAAAACTTTTAATTTATTTCAACCGTTTATTTTAGCTCTAAGTATAAAATGTTGGAACTGCAGATCCAGCACCGATCCCAAATGCGCAGATCCTTTCGATAATAGTACAGTACCGATAACTGATTGCAATCAAGAAAAGGGACTTTCGCATTTGCCGGGAATGAAACCAAGCATGTGCCGCAAAATAAGACAAAAAGGTAAATGAAAATATTACTTTGATAGTACCGAAAGTATTAAAAACCACATTGAATAGAAAAAACAATAATGTTCAATTGTATTATGTTGGCTACGAGTATATCTATAACTTTAAAGCATGTGACCTTGGAAAACAAAGACGTAGTTACTACTTAAACCACTTAAATACTTCTAACAACACGAATACTTTTAAACTTTATCATATCAAACACCCAAAAATATATGGAAAAAGTTTTTGAAAATCGATTATCTTCATGATACGTTACTTACTCGCGAAAGATATTGAGCTATTATCACAAATTCACCAAAACATCCTTTGCTATGAAATTTTTCTAACAATATCATAAAATTTACCATTAATTATGAGTATAAATAAATTGCATTGTAAACATGTGTTTTTATTACAGTTAATGGTGAATGGAGGTACTTCCGTGACTGTGCTTATTTGGGTGAAGTTGGCATTCAAGGAGATGAAAGGTTTTGTCTCATGAGGACTGGTACATACAATATATTTGTAGAATACTGTACTTGTAACAGTAAAGATGGTTGTAATTCTTCTTCAGTCATCAGTCCTTTACCTATATTCTTAGTTGTATTAGTTGCGTTAAGCTCTTTTAAGATAGGGCTCTAAAAAAAAAATTGGTTGTTGAAAGTGGTAAAGGGTTAAGGGAAAGTGGGTAAATATGTATTTTTTTGACAATAATAAGCATGTAAATCACTAGGTGTTTGTTAAATAACACTTGGCACAAATTAAACTAAAAATAATGTTAATAAGTTAAAGTGATGTATATAAACTACAATTTTCATTGAACATTAGTTAGCTCTCAAAATAGTAGATTGTTATGGGAAATAGATAAAGATACAATATTTCAAGGTATGTATGTTATTGTACATTGTATGTACATTATACATAAATCAGTTCCTTACCTTGAAATAATGTACATTTCAATTTTAAAGGGGCTTTAGGAAATACAGGTAAAGCAATAATAACATGCACATATTTAATCTAATTCTATACTAAAGCAGTTTAAGGGTAGTTTCAGAAGGGTGTGAGGCTAAAAGAGATCAATATAATATGCTTACTACCTATCACCTAAGTCAATGCTGTCTATTTTATATTAATTTTACTTTGTGCACTAAAATGTAATTTGATCGGAGAATGCAGATTTTTCCATACTAATAGCAAATACTTATTGGTAGGCTATATTAATTGTAAACCAGTATTGTTACGTCCCTAAATTACTTATTTTCGTTGTTAAGCAGTTCTATGTTCCAGTTAAAAAGGAGGGGCAGCCATTATTATTGAGACTTCATACTCATATCAAGTGACTAGTAGCATTTATGTTGTGATATTTATAAGCTCTAGTGACCACCTATCCGATACGACAGGCCATGAACTTATACAACCCTAAACAATAATAACCTAAACTGATAAGAAGCAGAACTATTGCTTTAAACTAAATAATAGGTCGAAATAGATGATAAAATAAATTACTTGTATTTTGTACGCATGTTACTGAATGATAAACAATTGCCTCGTAATACAATTTCAGAAATCTAAACTGATGTGTTTGGATTTTTGTTTTCGCCGGTCGTTTTAATTTCGCGTTTATTATTTTAATTTTATTAGAATAAAATAAACTATTAAATTACAGTAGGAAACTAAGTCAACTTTGTTTGAAATTTGTTCGCGAAACATGTTTTTCGATTTGACAAAATCGTAATACTGAAGAAAACAAGTTAATTACACGTATGATTCGTATAGAATAGGTATGAAAAACAAAATACGCTAACTTGAATGCAGCAAATGATTGGTGCATCATTTGCATTGGATCAAATATCTGAGGTCCTCTCGTCATAAAGTTGAAATCCTAAGTCAAAAAAACGACCAGACTTCAAGGGACATACTAGTTGTGCTTTCTGTATGCAAAAACGAGGGTTAGGTACGATAGTTAGCATATTAATCAAGTGCGAACGAAATTATTTCATTTGAAATCTAATAGTCACTAGTAATAACTAAAATAATAAACGAGAGATTAAAATACTAGTTGTAGTTACGAAAACAATTAGATATTGCTTATATCTTAATACACAATAACGATTGGAAAATCAAGAAAGAAAAACGCTTTTACGCCCATTAATAAAATGAGTTTTCCTGATTTTTTTTTGAGAAATCATTCGTCTTTTTATGATGAAGACAAGAGATATACAAGACCTTAGCAGCATTATAGGTATTTACCATTTCTGAACCCGAGCTGGGTTTTAAGACGTTTGTTCTTTGTACATAATGAATGAATGTAAAACGCACAGGCTAGATTTTTGTTGTTTTTTGATGTGAAAAAGTGATGAGTTTAAGCCGTTGTAAGAGCTTTCATTTGTAGTAACGGAAAGATGACACTGCCATCTCTGGAGCTCTGAATCAACACTAAAGATAGTGGTATCGTCGAAATAGAATTCATAAATATTGTTAAAACATTGACAACCGTATTGATTTAAGATTAAAGACTGAATGAAATCCGTCCGTGTAATTAATTTTTATATATTTTTATGATAAAATCAAATGTTATAAATCTTTTTAATGTAATAAAATACTTAGAATTTGCCGTTGTGTTTTATTTGCGTAGGTACGACTTAAAATTGGATATTCAAAGTTGAAAGCAATTCCTAGACTTGTTTTATTTACATATACATGAACTCGTCGTGGCCTAAAGGATAAGACGCCAGGTGATTGTGCCGGTGTACGAATCAGATTTGAATATTTTAAATGATATACGTACCTAACAAATGTTGATTTCCACGGTGAAGGAATGACATCGTGTAATAAAAATCAAACCCGTAAAATACTGCGTAATTACTGGTGGTAGGACGCTTTGTGAATTCGCACGGGTAGGTACCACCGCTCTGCCTATTTCTGCCGTGAAGTAGAAATGCGTTTCGGTTCAAAGGCTAGGACAGCCGTTGTACTGTAAAAACTGAGACCTTAGAACTCGTATCTCAAGGTAGGTGGCGGCGTTTACGTTATAGATGTCTATGAGCTCCGATAGCCACTTAACTCCAGGTGGGTCGTGAGCTCCATCTAAAAAATAAAAACATTTCACTATTAAAAGTGGTACTTGCCTGCGGGATTTGAAAACCAGCAAACTAGCATCGATCGATACTAGTACCTACATCGAGCGTCATATCCTTCAGGCTACGATTTCAAAAACAGGGCAAAGAAATGGCAATGAACTGTTTTGTTGCGCCAATTTCTTATATATAATTAAAACTACAGCTGCATTTCGAAAAACGAAGACAATTTCATTAAGCAGGAATGGATATATATATATATATACATTTCATAGAATAAAAACCACATTATTTCGTAAATATCTTTATTCGAGATTAGATGCATTTAATTAACATTTTCATAAAAATGAGGTGGGTGAACGTATTTTCTCACAGAATATCATGTAACTAAGTATTTAATAAATTTAATGACAACATTCTAAGTTTTGGTCGCTTCGTTGCTCAAATGGTTAGTGATTTTATCCCGGTCAAATTTTTGTTAAAGTTTTTGCTGCTTGTGCGCGTTTCCGATACTTTAATGCACATACAGAAGAAAATCCTATCTTTGTGTGATTTAATGCGGAGTGCTTATCCGGTTTTCTTTGAGAAGATTAGTCGGTAACTACACTAAGAAAGTGCTGTTGTTAAAAGTAACTAGGTACTACAAAAAAAAAACTAAGTTTAAGTTACTGATAAATTTCTCTGAATATAAAATTAAAATAAAGAGAAATACCAAAAGCTCTAAAATCGTTAACAATTAAAACAGATGAAGAAAAAAGTATGTGCAGTTAGTTAGTTATAAAGAAGTGAAAAGAGGAAATATAATAAAGGGTATTTTTTTGCTTATTATCTACTATACCTACTTACATTTACGTTAACAGTAAATTATTTGAAATGAAAGTTACCGTTAAAAGTATGATTATCTATTAATAAAATGTACATCTTTAGTATCTACAAATTTGTATTTCGTTGGCTATTACTGTTGTCAATTATTATGCATTATTAATTGCGGTGGGCACATCTAGATGGGTTATTGTCCCACGTTATAGCTAAATACAATATTATAAAATACTTTGTACTATTCCAGATACATATCTTCAAAACCAAACCGTAAAGTATGAATGTAGCGAAACAATTCTAAAGTTAGTTGACTTTTAGGAGACTGGTGGTTTTGTAAATGATTTGCTTCAATAAGGTTCAGGTATGATGAGATTTTTTCAAACAGCTGATTACGTTAACAATGTTAGAATAGTGATATGAACAATTTTTATTTTTAAGGTTTTATTTGAAACAAAATTTAACATGTACGGTGGTGATAACGAATTGGATTTACTTCAACAAGAGGAGGCTGAGAGGTGCGAGCAATAGAGCGATCGTCCTGCCGATGGTAGCGGCTCCGTTGCATCCGTCGTAGTCACAGGTCTGACAGAAGAGATTCACTTCGTTTGCTTCGTTTCTGGAAGTAGGGCAACCGACTTCGAAGTCATCCTGGCGTTTCCAGGTGCAACCACGACTCACAACTAATTCACCATCAACTGAAAAGGAAAAGTAGCTTAACATTGCTAAATTTATATAAAACTAGCTGACCCGGCAGACTTCGTAGTGCCTCAATCGATAAATAAAAGACCTAAGCTTTTGTATAAAATAAACTTAAAACAAACAAAAGGAATCCGTCCGACGGGAGACACATCAAAGGGAAATCAAAATTGTTATTTTTATTTAATTTGGAGCATCTTCATATTTATTTACCTTTTAAACCTTCTCTGGACTTCCACAAATCATTCAAGACCAAAATTAGCCAAATCGGTCCAGCCGTTCTCGAGTTTTAGCGAGATTAACGAACAGAATTCATTTTTATATATATAGAAGAAGATAACATTATAATTTGCGTAATTACTGGTGGTAGGACCTCTTGTGAGTCCGCACGGGTTCATACCACCACCCTGCCTATTTTTGCCGTGAAGCAGTAATGCGTTTCGGTTTGAAAGGTGTGGCAGCCGTTGTAACAATACTGAGACTATAGAACTTATATCTCAAGGTGGGTGGCGCATTTACGTTGTAGATGTCTATCTATGGGCTCCGGTAACCACTTAACACCAGGTTGGCTGTGAGGTCGCCACCCATCTAAGCAATAAAAAAAAAAACGAAGAAAGAAAAAAAACTACATAAAAATTCAACGCATCGCAGAAGACCTTATTATGAATATACGTTAGGTAGATACGGAGTTAAAAGGGCGTGGGATGTGTAACAAATTGTAATCACGTCACTAATTAGCGCACGTTGAATAATGGTACAATAGAACAATAAGGTGGAACATAGATAACTAGCTACTATTGCTAGACGTTGGATAATAATATGTATGTCAAGCCATTATGATTAGCGTTTCTGGCTTATCTTCGTAAACATTATTGTTCAACAACAATAGTGAGGTGAAATTCAAGAGTTAGATAGTGAAGTGTTTATTCAACTATTTTCATATGTATGTGCTTGTAGACGGGCATTTTAAATACTATAGAACCAATCTCGACTCTGAGCGTTGCAATTTACCTAAGATTCACATTGTGAGTTTTTGCCCTAACTATTCTAATTTTCAGAGTGAAATTCTTTATTATGTCCATACATCAATCTACAGGGCTGACACAATATTATACTATATCCATGCTACAGTTTGATTTGACTTTGGTATACGGCCGATGGCCTATCTGATTAAAGGTTAACCCTTCCATAGGAAAGGTAGGCTTTGAATTTCCATGTTAACTCAAGACTTAAGAGAAGGGCTTACGATAGAAAATCGTGTGCGGATACTACTTCTTCTATATCGTTCCCTCACTAGTGAGGATCGCGACCACATGTGACGTTCTTCCACTGTGTTCGGTCATGGGTGGCATGGACCGCATGGTACAGACTACCATAATACTACTACTAATAACTTTACTACTTATAATTACTACTACTTTACTTACTATACTACTTACTAATTGGAAATTATGATGTAAGGTCTTTTATTAACAAGCATAAGTTTCATAAACTGGTTGTTTGTTTATGGGTCGTCTATGCGCCTCATTTGCTTTTTGTAGTATCACTAATTAAGCAGATGCATTACTTTAAATGAAGACAAAACTCACAAATATCCGCAATTACTGTTTTATTTGACCACATTTTAGTGTGTATTTGAATGGGGTCATTTCGTAAATAATTTGATTATCTTTCTTTTTTATACGCCGTTCAAGACTACTTACTGGTCATATTTAAATAAAGCCGTTACATTAATTTGTTTGAAATAGCTTTTTAAATAAATAAAAAAGTGCGTGCGTACAAAGTACACATGTCAGAAGTGAAACTTTTTTGGCGAACTAATTTATAAGTCTTTCTTATATTTATACAAATCTAAAACTTCAGATTTCTGAGATTTAGAGGAAGGGAAAAAGGAAGATATGTTCCCGCCAAAAGTCTGTCAAATGTCAATCTCAAACCTCAGTGTTGACAGTTACATTATGTTTAGATTTCTAAATTGTAAATGACTAATATTTTGCCAATTGAATTGACTTATTTAATTTCATGCTATTTGATTAATGTTCCAAATTCTTTCATTTCATTCCAATTCCTATTAACATTTTTCACAAAAAAATTATAAAATATTAGGCTGTATGGTATGATACATTTGCCTTTCCAGTTGGAAAAATACAACAACTACTACTACTGACATTTGACAAGTACTTAATTTCAATAGTAGTTTGATGTCACTTCCGTTGCATACCTGCGTGACGTTCTGTAAAAATTCTAACCCCATGCGCCTAAAGAAGTTTCGCTTCAAAATATGTTTTTAATGCTTAACTTTTCGACGCAACTGTACTAGGGTTATTAATTCATAATCGATATTTTGTTAGGTGAATAATAAATTATTTGGAGTTTAATCTACTATTACTACGCGCCTCCTTTAAATTTAAGTCATAATTTACTTCAATCATTGAGTATAATTTATCTACGTAGAACGTTTGACTAGAAAATACACATTTATCTTTTTATCGGCAGTCATAGATAATTTTTTTTTTATTGCTTAGGTAGTTGGACGAGCACACAGTCCACCTGGTGTTAAGTGGTTACTGGAGCCCATAGACATCTACGACGTAAATGCGCCACCCACCTTGAGATATAAGTTATAAAGTCTCAAGTATAGTTACAACGGCTGCCCCACCCTTCAAACCGAAACGCATTACTGCTTCACGGCAGAAATAGGCAGGGTGGTGGTACCTACCCGCGCGGACTCTCAAGAGGTCCTGCCACCAGTAATTACGCAAATTATAATTTTGCGGGTTTGATTTTTATTACACGATGTTATTCCTTCACCGTGGAAGTCAATCGTGAACATTTGTTGAGTACATATTTCATTAGAAAAATTGGTACCCGCCTGAGATTCGAACACCGGTGCATCGCTCAACACGAATGCACCGGACGTCTTATCCTTTAGGCCACGACGACTCTCAAGACACATAATGTCGGCAGTATCTGAATGCAATGCTATCTACTTACTGTATTTCTTTTCTTTCTTGCATACAGACTTCGAAGCTGTCAAATAAGGAAAGGTAGCTCCAGCATTCTTGTCGCAGTTTTCGAGGCGGAACAAATAAGAATTCCCGGTGTCGATACGGATATTAAAAGGATCGTTGCACAGCGGATTCACGTTAGACGAACACGCCCAACAATTCACTGGTTCACCTGGAATAAGTGAAAATATTGATTTAATTTTTTATTTATGAAACAGACAAAAAACCCGGGTTTTGTGTTCGTAAGAGGAGATATTTTTTATTAGGTATATACATGGATGAATAAGCTTACGATCTAGCCATAAGTGGGTACGAGAGACAGATGTCTAGACGACTAGATGAATACCTCCCCATTCCCACCAAAAAACATGACATTTCAAGCCCGAACGGATGACTGCTATGCGGCCGAACTTTTTTTTGTCCTTCCTATTGGTTAGTTGCCTAAGGGGCTATTCCAGCCACGCCCGTTCAGGTAGGTGAGCTCACGGGCTCAACCTGAGAGTATTTGCTAACACTAGCCCTAGCAAGAGCTGACCTTCTCAGAATCTACCACTGGATCGCAATCGCGACCTACCGAGAAGATCAGGCAGAACACCCTACCGCCACGCGAACAGTTACTACAAATAATAGGTTGGGGAAAAAGTCTTTTCGCATTAGAGTATGTATGAACTTGTAATAAAATCTCTTTGGCTATACTATTTGTATCTGGCTGGTTTTGGTATCATTAAAAGTTTAAATTTTAAAGTAGATAATTCCAAATTCAAATTAGGAAAATGTGTGATTTTTATTCATTTTTCGTACATACTGTCAAGATGAGTGAATCTAATGAAGAAATTCGATACATTTTAAAATTTTACTACAAAAAAGTTAAAAATGCAACGCAAGCCGCGAAAAAACTTTGCGATGTTTATAGACCTAGTGTGCAGTGTCTGTGAGAGTAGCACAAATTTGGTTTAAGCGTCGCTGTGGTCGCCCTATTACGGATAAAATGGATGCCATTTTTGAAAAAGTAGAGAGAGCAAGATCGGCATATCATTAGTTACGACGTAGCTAAAGAATTTCCTGGCTGAGCCTTTGCTCGCCCACCTGTCCTGGTGAAACTGGAAAGGCCTCCGGGCCACCAGTAATCCTTCAATCATAAAAAAAAAGCTAAAGTTTTGGGAATTGACTACAAAACAGCTTTGGCGCATTTGAATGTAGTTTTCGTGTTTGTTTTTTCACATATCTTATTTAAATTGGTGTCAACTAATGATTCACAGTAACGTTACACGTTTGTCACAATAATAGTCACAAAGAACACGTATTATTCGTACGGTATCCATTAAGTCGTTCAATTGTTTACTAATACTGGAATGAGTAATCGAACGATGCATGTAGCGTAGAAACGTTTTTTCCAAGCTTCTTAGAAAAATGTGAAATAATTTTATTGAAAGTGTGTTTTAAAAATGAGTCCGTACCTATTTTTTTTTTTTTTTATTGCCCTTGTAGGCAGACGAGCATACGGCCCACCTGATGGTGAGTGGTTACCGTCGCCCATGGACTTCAGCAATGCCAGGGGCAGAGCCAAGCCGCTGCCTACCGTTTAATACTCTCCACAAGCCTCGTTTGAAGAAGGACATGTCATAGGACATGGACATAGGACATGTCAAGGACCTAACGAATATAACTCCAGTTTGTTGTATGGATTTTGATATTTATGCATATCTACACGCGTCTATTCTAACATATTATTAAAGGATTGAGAAAAATGAACAAAACATTGCATTGTTTTCAATTTATTGATTGAGGAAATGTTTTTTTTTTTCCTTAACAACGATAACATTTTTTGCACGGCCTACCTCGACAGAGGTTTGGTCGGAACCAGGAAAAGTGTTGTGTTTTTTAATGTTCTCGATAGCGTAAAAGTTTACTCGATTTTTTATGCAGGTGGAACAGCGCCCCTAGCGGCAAACCTAGGCAAACGCTCCAAGTCCATACGAATTTCAGTTAACTTTTACGCTATCGAGAACGTTAATAAAAACTCGCACTAAGCACACTGAATGAAGGTTCTCACTTATGTGTCTGACAAGCATACGACTCGTGAAAAGCCAATAAAATACTAAGTTAGAATTCTGTTTTATTTATTTTATTTACTTACAATAAGATTAGAACGGTGTAGTAAATTACACAATCAAACAATCACACTCAAGCCACACATACCTTTAAAATATACATCTAAAAGGTTATATTTGATTGCTCAGATACAGATTACACGAATCAATCAATACACTGGCTTATGTCAACCGAAGCGGTGACGTGGACAGCTACCTTTTAAAATCTTAGTACTTTTTGTGGAATCCGGAAGAATAAGATTGTGTGAATTGTTTTAATTTGCATATTTAGTGTTTCATCAGAACGTACAATGACGGGTATAATGAAGCATTTGTTATCTGCGAACGCATACAAGTGTAGAATAAATTAAGAAAATTAGGCATGATGCGACTCGGGTTTTCCTAAAAACTCCATTGGTCTCAATAAATTTCCAAATTCCTAGTAGTTATCCAATTATAATTGTAAATAGACATGCTTTAACAAAAACTGACTTCAAATAGAAAAAAAAAAGATATTCCAAAACAAATTAATATGCACTAAAACCAATAATCATCGAAATCGGTTGGCGTGATATTGAGTTATTTATTTATTTGTCGAGCACGTACTTAATGCAAATTTAAGACTCATGTGGTTTTCTCACGGATACCATTATCAGAACTGGACTAAAAAAAAAAAAACCTTAAAAATCGATTCACCCACTCAAAAGTTATGAGGTAACAAACATAAAAAAACATACAGTCGAATTGAGAACCTTTTCCTTTTTTGAAGTCGGTTAAAAATGCGTTGACACCAATAAAAAACTAATCATTCTAAACGTATTTGTGTAGAAAAATTGATCAGTCAGTCAATTAATTTCAAAAACAATATCATAATTCTTCACGATAACATCCTGGGAATACTAACTGTATATTAGTCGTAAGTAGTTCCTACAATGAATGGCAATGATAACAATTAACATGAAACGTTCGTCCCACGGTAGGTAAAGTAGGCGTGCTTATTCTAGAACGATCTACTTATTAATTGGCATTGTTATTGTCAACTGCGCACGAGGCACGTGTGCGTCTAGCATGTAATAACGCTTCAGTAATGATTTAAAAAAAAACGTAATCGAGTCAAAACTGTTATTTGTGAATTTTAGTTATCTTTTGTTCGATCATTATAATGTTAAAAAAAAAACATTAAAATAGATAATGGTTATTATGGCGAAAAAGTTTTCTTATTAATTAAGTTTTATTAGTTAATTTTAAAGACTTTGTTATGTATACTACTCAATTAAATTTTTTTAAAATATTTAAAGTTTTAAATCGTTGAGATCGCTCAGCGAGTATATGCTGACCTTCGATGGTACCAGCTTACACAACATTCGTGCATTGAGCAAAGGAAAATGTTATACTCAAAGCCGGTTCTACACAGAATCTAATACGCAGTTGCGCACTTCTAAACTGTATTAAGCATTTGCTTGCTTTTATGATGAAAAATTCAAATAGTGGAGACTTTACATTTATTAGCTAAATGGTCCGCAGTATCCACATGTTACGCTAAATAAAGGATTCATCAAAATGATCATCCTTCCAAACTATAATAACGTCAAAGAATAATACATTTTAAGCTCTTTGCTGTAAGCCGTCCTTACCGGTTCTTAAAATTGTCCCAAGAAACTTTTCATCTTTGATATATTTAAATTTTACTGGCCACTTTTATTGCTTAGATGTGTGGACGAGTATAATTACAACGGCTGCCCAAACCTTCAAACCGAAACGCATTACTGCTTCACGGCAGAAATAGGCGGGGTGGTGGTACCTAACCGCGCGGCCTCTCAAGAGTTTCTACCACCAGTAATTACGCAAATTAAAATTAAAATTACATTTCACTTATATTGAAAACAGATATACCTATTCACGTGGTGGATCTGACCACTCACGTGACGCTTTCATGTTTGATGCATCTACCGGCGATTAAGACATAGATAAAAAAAATGTTGAATCGATTTTACCAATAAGGGCATTACTATGTCATAAGTTAAAAACGAGTTGTACCAATTCTAGTGTGCGACTTCGATGATGATGTAATAACATCGTACATCTAATAAAAATAAACTTGCGTGATAACCGCTACTAGGCCGTATTGGAAGCCTATAAGGATGTAGTCCCTGGACGTTATTACTGGGTTTGGGCTTGAAGGGTAGGTCTTTTATAATCCGGTTGAGATTTTTCGACTTCATGCCTCTAGGTGTGGCATTCACGTTGAGATAGACGACTCAAGTAACCACTTCAACTTGGGTGGACCGTATGATCGACTACCCATGTGGAGCAATTGTATCAAACACTACTATATTATAACACTAATATTATATACCACACTGTTAAAGCTATCACTAAATTGAAACAGGAAAACAAACACGATATTATTTATTAATAATTTTTTGCATTTATTATGTTACACGTAGTCATATTATGAGGTATATATATCCACATGAATTCTGTTACAATTATTAATTGAACATTGCATTGTATACTGCTGGATCCAAGGTTGTTTTGTACGATCATCGTAAATAATGAGAAAGAAGTTAAGAGGAATGTCGTCACTCAGATTACAAAAGGCGAAATTTCATTAAACTAGTGGTAGTCGAAATTCGACTATAATTAATTGAAATTATAAGTTTGAACATTATCATGGTTCTATTGTCAAAGACTATTATTTTACTTCCTATATTCACAGATTTCGCCAAGACAATATTATAGACAAATATAATTAAAGATAAACAATATTATCAAAATATAGTAATATAAATGTTCCAGTATAATCTATTCTCAATTTGACCACAGATTTTAAAGAATAACAAAGTTTAACAATAAACGAAGAGTATTTAAGCGTGTGTGTGTGTCGTTTCTTTTATTGATTTAATGTATTTTTAGGCATAATAAAAAAAAATGGCATTCTGCACTCCCTCTCTATATTCTCTATAAATGTGGGAAATTACATACTCCTCCGTCCGCGCAATTTTCGTAAAAAATGTGGGTAGGTATATACCACTCATTTGTTTAAATAATACGGACGCCATTTATTCACGCGAACGCATCG